TATCTAATGTTCAGAATAATTTAACATATAAATACTTACCTAATAAAATACATAAATTAATTAAATATCCTTATTTTCATGTCGAAAAAGGTTTGATAGATATTTTTCCTTTTATAAACTAAAATAATATAAGTATTTACATCAAATTAATCTTATATTAATCTAATACTAATATTTTCTATGATTTATAAAACTCCGTTAAGAAAGTTCCTATCACAACAGTTAATAAAGACTTTCTACGAATATGACATGTATGTATTATTACAAAAGAAGGGGAATTCATGTATGATTGGTAGATTTAAAAAGCCCATCATACGGAAGCGGGAATTTCGAAAAATCAGCTTCATGGATTTAATGGTCCCTGCTGAACGGCGAGGGCGCGACAGATCTCTTTATTCGAGCGGCACAAAGGCACCGCGCAGATTACAGAGCCAGCAATCCCTCCTCTATGGATTCTACGGTAAGGCATTATACGAGGACATGCGGCCAAGTAACGTGGAAGGACATCATCCCTGGACAATACTTGACTCAAATCATTGTATATCTATATCTGCTTTATTGATCTTTTTGTAGGTTTCGTAGAATCAATGGAAATCAATTAATCTCGAAATTATAGTTAATTTACAAAAAGTTTAATATTATATCTATATAGTATTATGAAGATAAAAATAATAGATAATATCTTTTAAAATATGCAAAGAAATACCTTGTAAATTTATAAAAATTCAGAATCCAAAATATTCGATTATATCAACTTTATTTCATATCAATATATGATGAATATATAGAATAATTTAACATAACATAATTTTTTTTTCACAAATAAAATTAATAAGAACTTAAATTCTCTTTTTATAATTTATTACTATGTTTATACTAAAACAATAAGATAATAATATTTCTAATAGAAAAAATTATTTTATTAATAAATACTTATACAAATTAATTAATTAAAGATTCTTAATTTAAAATAAAAGAATTTGAAAAATCGATATTAAAATAAAAATTTAAAATTAAATAAAAATCTTAATACAAATATTCTCTGTATTAAATAATTATTACATGATGTAAATAAAGTAGTCATTAAATAGTCATTAAATTCGATTTCAAGGTTTGTATATTTTCGAGAAATGAAATTTTTTATATACAGTTATGAACAAAAAGTAAATATATTTCGAGATATAATCTAAGTCACATACAATCAATTATACTTGCGATTTCGAAAATGTGCGATGATGCAAGCTCACACGGACACGTTATTATTATACATATTTATATGTAAATGCAAATGTATGTTTTGCAGACAAGATTATTATATCTTATTATATCTTGTCATTAAAAAATTTTAATTATGAGCTTACACGAATAAAATAAAATTAAATACTAAATGCTTATTTTAATAGATGAAAATCTCTGGTTCATTTGAACGAACATGCAATTTTTTGTGCTATCATAAATGGTATTATTTATATCATCTTGGTATATCTTTACTTTTCCCAAGTTTTTAATTTTCAAATACAATAGATATGTATTGTGAGTAATAATACTTAATTGATTTTCAATTTCATTACTTTGAATAATGTATAAATAATTCATTAAAAAATATATCACACAATATAATTCGATAAATTTTTTGTAACAATCTAACTCATACATATGTACATATAATCGTTTCATTGACTATCGTGTTAGAAATACATAAAGATATAAGCTAACTATACAGATAGTTTACTCGTCTTTTATCACCGACAAATTTTTACTTACGTGTTAATCTTTTTTTCATACACTTTCCAAAGATAGTAAATATCTATTTATTCACGACTAGTCCTGACTAGGTATTGTTTTATTAACATTCACAGCATTCATCTAGATACGTTTATCTGTTAACAATGTCCCACTTTCTTCGTGCGTCTGTTAAACGTTGCTTGAATATATTTTCAAACTATGGTAACAACATACATAATTATTTTTAGTTAGTTTAGTTAGACTTTTGTGGTTGAAAATTCTAATTACATTTTGTTATATTGAACGAATTATATGTAGACGATTATTTTTATAAATATACAGCAGTCACATAATACATTTATTGATGATTGTTCTTTGTGGTTTTTATTATTTACTTAACCTTAAAAAGATAGTAATAACTTGCGCCTTCCATTCTATGCTTGGACTAGAATATACTCTTTTATTCTAACATGTAGAATAAAGGATAATGCAAAACTGAAAAATAAATCGAACTAAAAATTATATCAGTGATTTAAAATAACATTATTATTAAAAAATTGTTTTTTTTCCAAATTCTATCTTTTTATAGACAATGTAATAACTTTATTGCATTAAAAAATTTCAAAATTTAATTGTAACAAATAGTAAAAATAATAAGTCCTGTGAAAGTTTAATATAAAAAATTGGAAATATCTTAAAATTTCTTATTTTAAATCACTTTAATAAAATAAATGACAAACAATAATGTAACTTATATAACTATACAATAATTTAATATAATAATATTCGTACATTCATTCACGAATTTATGGTATATTAATAATACCTAGATATTGTTTTTTTATCGGGAAAAATTATATAAGCATTTGAATTATTCATCTCGAAAAAATAATTCCTTATTAAAAATTTTGTATATAATACAAACTATGAAAAAAATATAGATATTTAAATTTCGAAGATTCAAATAAATATATATTTTAATAATTTAAAAATTTTCTTGCCAATTTAAAACAATTAGATAAACATCATGCTAAATCAACTATGTATTTGGATCAATATGTATTTAAATGATATTAGATTAAATTTTTATAATAGTACATGTGTTTTCGTTCTTTGACTAGATAACTGCTACAATTTGGCAATAATAATTAACCTATATTTTTCTGACTAGAAATTATTTAAAAGCAATTCTTTTTATATACACACATTTTACTTAAATATATATGTATATCATTTATAAAATTCATATGTTTAAAAAATTAAATAAAACAACATTTAATATGTGTCAGTGATTTCATTATCATTTCAGATATCATTCAATGTTTTTTATTTCTATCTTAACCTTTTAACCAGTAAAACTGAAATAATTCGACATATTAAAAAAAATTGAATTTCAATGAATCATTTTAACTTTTTAAAAAATTATATATTTATTAAAAATATTATTAAAATATAAAATATTTATTTATTATAAATAAAATGAATTAATTTATTTATTTAAAAATTATTTATAAAATACTTTATCGAAAAATTATACCGATTAATAGGTTAAGTGTTCACAGTAGTACTAATTCTATTATTATGAAGCATACAAAATTTAGTAATATTTTTCTTATTGCATCTAGTGACAATCAGAAATAATATATAATATACTTTTTGATTTACAGCCATTTACGAAAGTTTACTGAGATCTATTTTCAATGATTAAAAATTAATTATTTAATTATTTAATTCTATATTAAAAGTAACCAACTAACAGTTGGTGACCCTGACTAGATTTGTTCGTCTTAAGTATCTTTGATGTTTAGCTGTATGATCACGATCCGATGGATCAATGATTCAATTGGTGATTTAATCTAAATCCTAAAGAATAATCTAAATCCTATTCGAATAACGTGCGTTCACTTAATCTAAGATGAAAGATGACGGATCGCTTGAGTAAATATTACAACACAGATAAATTGCCTGCAGGTATGTATGTACATGCATAGTCACGGTTTATAGCTGGTCTCTCCCACTATCTACAGATTTACATCACACGTAACGTCGTATTAACCTTGTTACTTCGCTACATCTAATTCTATGCAAATTTACAGTCCAATTTGTCGTGTCGTTCGCACGATATACCTATGTAACTGTTCCGTTGCAACGATTATTGTCTCGAATTTATGAGAATCGAAACGTCGCTTTTAAATGACTGTTATTGAAATATGTGTTTGCTTCTTTATTATGTTTCTAATATTGTTTTTAACGTTTTTTAAAAATTACAATTGTTGCAGAAATAATTTTATATCAATAATAATATTATTTTAAATCATTAATTGTGTTTATTATAATATTGCAGATTTTTTATCAATAAATGACATCGCTGTTAAACAGTTACTATTAAAATTTATTATTGTTTGTTTCATTATAGTTATTTCTAATGTTGTTTTTGAAAAATAAAATATATTATTACAAATGTTCTTTATTGATAATTTTGTTTAATTTTATTATTTTATTATTTATTTCTGACACTTTCGAATGCAGTTTTTTAATACTTATGTATTTGCAAAAGTATTTTTACAATAGAAATTTTCAGATGCAAAATGTATTTAAGTATAATTTTTATTATTACTTTAACTTAATGGATATTAAAAATTTTTCAGAATTTTATTGATTATATTATAGGAATATTAATATGAAAACTATAAAAAAAATTACTATAAAACTAATAAAAATATTAAAATAAAATTTATATGTAATTAATTTTCGAAAAATATTTCTATTACTAATCTTCGAACAGCGAATTTTTTAAATAATAATAATTATTTAAATCTTTGGTAGAATGATTTAAAATAAATTACACGTTTATCTGCGTTATTTTCCATATAAGTATAAATTTAAATCGCACGAATTTATTTATTTCATAAAAAATACTAAAATTGCACATATTACAAACTTAGCTAAAAAAAAAAAAAAAAAGAAAAAAAAACAAAAGGAGAGGAAAAACAAAAGGAACAAAATTCTTGTTATATGTATATACTAAAACTTTAAAAATTTCAAAAATATGTATTTCAACAAGAATAAAAGGGAATGCAAGGGAAGGCAAGATATAAGCTAAAAGGGGAAGCTATATATACACGTCGATTGCCTCTTTTCATAGATTCAACGATTCATCAATTATGAAATTTTAACCAAAAATAAACTAGATGATTTAGAAATCTTTATAAATCAAGACCGAATCTCCAATAGAGTCCCGGCCTTCGAGGCAAAGGTCTCGCGGGGAATTGGTGTCAGGGTATCTCGGTGTTCAACGAACCATCATTAACCACCTGAACAACATCAGTCTTACCAACAGCAGCTCCTTGCGTGTCCAAAATAATGTTGTTGTTATTGTTGTTGTTGTTATTTGCCTCTGGATGCTGGCTGGCCAAATGTTTCCTCAACGCTGCCTGCCTGGTGAACTTGGCGTCGCACCTGGTGCACGGTATCTCAATACTTGCCGTGGAAGAGGAATGTTCGCCATTAGCCAATCTAGGTTTATGCCAGCGTCGATGCGATGCCAAGTTGGCCGGACAGGAGAACCTCTTGTCGCATTCGGGGCATCTATACTCGACATGGGCTATCCTCGAGCATCTGTGCTGGGCCAATTGGAACGCGTCCTCGTGCAATTGCCTGCAGAGCTTGCATTGATATGGGCCGAGCCTGTTCTCGATCTTGGCCAGTTCCGCTCGCGCCTCCTCGGTGACTTCAACGATGTTGAAGGCCGGATCAATGTCTCCAGTGACCACCGCCTCGTCCGGGCCCAGAATCACAGTGCCCGATACAGGGCTGCTGGTGTCCTCGTCAAACTTCAGCCTTCTGGCGTGCTTCTTCTTCGGCCTCTGGAGAAGTTTTTCACTCGATCCTGATCTGGATCCGTTAGACAGGCCGGTATTGCTGGTCGTCGAAGCTGGACTCGAATCTTCTTCCCTGGCTTTTCTTCTGGGACACTGCGGAGGCGATGGTGTGCTAGGTGGAGTCATAGGCGCGTGCTGCATTCCCTGCAAGTGATGCTGTGGAGTCAGCAAAAGTTGTTGATGGTAGCCTTGCACTGCCGACTGCAGATGGTTGGGGCTGGTTAACAAAAGTTTTTGATTGTGCGCATAATATTTGGAGGAAATTTCGTTGGTCGAGCCAAAGGGAGCCAAACGAGTGGCTTCTTCGAAGGTGCAAGCTTTGACCGTCAATTCTTGAGCTTGCAAAGGCTCTTTCTTGGACAGAACTTGCTCGTAGCTCGAATGACTGTGCACCGAGGAGCTTCGAGGTACGGTGTCAAAATCGTCGACTATAAGGGGACTTGATTCGTCGCTGTTCCTTCCATATCTGCAATTTTCCGATTCTTTATTCGCTTCATCCAATGTTCTGTGATCCTTCTTCAAATCTGTTATTACGATCGAATCTTCGGTCTTGGGTGTGCTTGGTGTAGGCGGTGGTTTCAGAGATAAGTCGAGTGGACATGGCGTGGACGATCTGGACAGATCCCAGGTTTGAAGAATTTGATGATCAGGGACCCTTGAATAGGTCGGGGGATTCTCCATTGGAATGTGCCAAGTGGTACCGTATGAATGCTGATGGATCTCGTCACCGTAGTAACCCAGATAATTCAATCCAGGGGCGAGGAATGCCCGTGGTAATGAACTGTGCAACATACTGATGATGTTCGTTTCTGCCAAAAGTCTCCTGCCTTGAGATCCTCTTTAAACGAACCATCCGTTCGAGGTTTCGCCAATTTCCATTTTATTCCTTATCCTCGAAACCACGATCGACGTGGAACACAATAGAACGATGGGATCGTCGCTCGATTGCGATTTTGCAATGATTTTCGTGATCTGACAATATTTACCACTGAATGAAATATATCTCGACGATAGTTTCGAGAGAATTTTTTGAATATACGACACACTATCTTCTCCCTCGACGGCTAAAAGCCGTTTGACAGAAGGACGCTAGTACACCGTCTGGTATATTCGAATGCTCCGCCCGGGAGCTTGGTCTCACTTCGCTTTCTATTGGTCGGTCTATCTCCTGCCTCCTACTCCCACCACTCGCTCCTTTTACCCACCACTCCGCTGGAATTCTGGCGCGTGCTCATGTAAACGCTCACCGCCCCGCTCGACCGCGTAACTAATGAATGTATATCTCTTACGTCGCTGCATCGTTGCCTCTCGAAACACGTCGTTTCTGTCGATTCTTTAATAGAGAATGCCATCCTTTAAGTAGTTTCTTTATTTATCTTTATCGAGCCTTGTTTCGAGTTTTTTTTGAAAAATTCACGAGAAAGAATTTATCAATTTCACGTTCGATGTTTCAAATTTGATATTGGAATTGGGTTGGTTGGCCTTCGTCAATTCGTATTTATTTTTTGGTAAGTAATTGTAATACGAAACAAAATTTGAATAGCAAAAAGAAGAGCTTTAAATGAAAAATATTTTCTTCTACTTCTAAAGAAATTTAAAATACTTATATTACCAATAACGTATTCTTAAGGTTTAAGTATTCATGAAGTTTTATTTCAACATTTGAGTACTCATGAGGTTTTATTCCATTTACAATTGCCGCCGTTAAATTACATATTTGTCACGTGCAGCCACGATGTAAAATGTCTCACGCTGTCGTATTCTAATACACATTTTAGACGATTATGTATTTTTTCTTGCGGAAAATATTACGTACTGGAATACGATGTACATAAAAAAATTTACATGAGTTTAATTCAGAATAAATAACTCAAAAAATTTTTTAATTTATTTGAATTTTAATTTAAACTTTTTGAAATAACGTTTGAAGAAATTGACGATCGATAACGACGACGATTTAGCGATGATTTCGTTGATTGTTGATTGTCGTTCTTCTGATGAACGTCTTGACCTCAACAGCCTCTTGTCCAATTACAGTTGGCGATTGTCCATCCAACGAACGATTCCCAAGGGTGAGGATTAACTACGGAAATCGGCTGAAGCTTCTCCACGCTTCACACGTAAGTCCATTGACGTCGAAATGCGATCTCGTTGCACTGATGAATCCATCAGCGGCTTGAAATTATTTATGACGATTAATCGTACATACTCCGCTACTAATTAAGTAAGAAGATCAAGAGATTATGATGCGGCCACAGAATCATTGACCGTGGGTCCTTTTACTTTGCTAACCTTAACGGGTAAATAATTTCATAAAAATGATGCTTTATTTGACATTTTGGTACATTCTTTTTTGAAAATGGAAAACTAAATTTCTAAAATTAAATGGATGAGTAAATGATTTCAATTTTAAAAGAATTATTGAATTATTGAAATTTAAAAATTTGAAATTTTATATTGAAAGATGATTAGATTATTTAAAGAAAAAAATTAATAAGTATAAATAAATTTCAAATAATATTTTAAAATAAGTATTTTATCGATAAAAAGTATGTAAATAATGTTGTATAAAATTTTAATCTCATCAGTTATTTAAAATTAAATATGTAATATTTTTAATATCGAATTTTACATCTGCTTATAAAATATTTTCAAATTGTAGCAATAAAATAATTTATTTATTTAAAATGAATCGTATTTTTTAAATATTCATTCAATGAAAGATGGAAAAATATTATATTTTTACTTTTGGAAAAATGAAGCGGTACTCCATTCTCGCTTGTACCTCGCTTATGAATTTCATCGCATTCTGTATAGGTATTATATATTATTTCAAATAAGTAGACATATAATATTTTCTACTCAATGTTATGATTCACCTCGATGCACACAATATTTATTATTTATTTAAATTCATTAAATATTTCTATAAAGAGAAATACGAAGTTGAATTTCATATGAGAAATATTGATTTTAAAATTTACGTTGATTAAATTTTTTTTTATTCCTTTAAAAAAAAATTTAATATTCTATATCCTTTTCTATTAATATCAATCATCAAGAAAAATCAAAAAAATCCAAATTCATAAAAACGTCCATTCATAATTAATCAAATTTAAAAATTTTATCTTTCAATTTCCTTTCTACTTTATTCCTTTCCGCTTAGTTGTTAAATATTTCCCTATTATAAATAAACAAGTGAAAAGCAACATCGGTACAGAGTAATCTTTGACGCGAATATTATAATACGAAACATTGAAAACACGTGATCGATCGTATGTATATGGGGGATAAGTTTAAAATTTCATACTCGACGTAATCATTCTATTGGCTGAAGGAACCAAAAACAAATGGCAAATGATCCATTATTACGTGCAAACATCGCGTGGACTAATACCGCTTGCGGTAAGCATAAAATATAGGTATTAACGTGGGATAAGTCGGTCGATACGGATTTGCCATGATTATTTGATACTCCGTGAAACATTTTACCACGTGTTGCACTCTCTGCTTCCGGCTACGTATGCATGAACGTCTGAAAACACCGTTACGCGTTCGATACTCGAATTACAGAGCTAAAACCTCGCTTCTCCATATTCTCCGCGTATATACACGAATCCATGTTATATGCGAAAATCTGATTGATAATAGTTCAGTATTTCACGTTGCCAACTTCATACGCGTCCCACTTTGGATTAAATACCATAAATACGATACGAAAAACATATAGATAAAAAGTAGCATATTTTTTATAAAATTTGTTATATTATTTGTTATAAAATTTCATCAAAAAAATAAAAATTCTTCTATAAGATATTATCTTATAGTTTTCGTTTATTCTCAATTTTTTTTAGATTTTTTAAAAAAATATCACAATATGTAGAAAAATATGAATAATTTTCATTAAATTATTCCTCTTACCTTTAAAATTTTTTATATAAGAAAGTATCTGAATAATGGATACTATTCTATAGAACATAACCTATTAGCTAATTTATGAAATACTGTTGACTAATATTTATTATCAAATGTTATATATTTCACATTTTTTAAATAAAAATTTGAAATATATTTTAGAAAAAAATATAAAATCTTCTCTCGTATATTTTCCCCTCTATACATTAACGAAAACTTGAAATTTTAGAAAGAAAATCGACGAAGGAAGGAAAATATATTTTCTTATATTTCCCTCGATCGATTTATGCACGAACCTGGACAACCATCGAAATACGTTTAAGGATAAGAAAACAAGAAAGACGAAGAAGGAGAAACGAGTAAAACGACTTCCAGGACGAGCAACCTTTTTGCCTGTACGGATGTCGATGAGTGGCTCCCGCATCCGCCGGTATGGAGAGAACGAGAGGGCGGCTCTACATATTTGATGCGATTTTAATGTCTCTGCCCGGCATATCCACGTCCTGTGCACCAATGGCAGGAGGAACAGCAGTCCGCCGCCACGAGGCACCACTGACTGCCGTGATGCCTTAATCGGCTTACGCAACAACCCACCTTTATCCCAACTTCCCATCTCAGCGCCCTCTTGCCTCGCCTCGACGAACATCAACGTCCTCCAACCATCGCCTTCGATAGTGGCACCCACAGTTACTCTCTGCGGTTCGACTCTAGCTGCGATCCTCTTTCCTGCTTACTTTATCCCTCCTTAAAATATATATGCGCATTTTTGTTTCATTTTTTGGAGAAATGTCTGCCTGCTATTTCATCGTAGTCACCAATGCATCTTCTTTACTATTTGTTCCCTTATTTTTTCTTTTTTCTATTCTTGTTTTTCGACGATTTTTTTTCTCCTGAAAAAAAAAATGAAAATATTAATATTATCGCTCGTTTGTGGAATAAAAATAAAATTAGAGAATTAATATGAAATTCAGAGAATTAATACTAAATCAATTTATAGATTATATAGAAATGAATTCCTATGTTACTGATTTATAAATTTATATGTTCATGATTATATATTATTTTACGAGATAAATAGAGTCGATATGCAATATTATTTTATTCAGTATTAATTATTCAGTTAAATATTCTAGATTTGATAGAAAATTGAAGAATAATAAATTCAACATTGTTTACATACATTATTTACGATTTGTATTTATATAATAGATAATTATATTTCCGATTTTTCATTTATTTTCTCATTTTATTTACACCAGTATCAAAATATTGAATGTTAAATTTGTTTCTAATCTTTTTATTCTTTTATATAGAATATTCATCATAAGTATCATATTCATTATAAATAAAAATAATTCATTATAAGTATAAATAAAAAAAATTATCAGTTAATTTTTCTAAATTATTCTAAAAATTTGAAATTCTCGAAACTTTTTCTTTTTAGAATATAAATATAAGTACCTATTTATATATACGTACTATTTTATGTTTTTAATTATTAATATATTTATATTTATTTATATTCGTATATATATATATATATATTTATTATATATTTCTTCTTTTTTTATGTTAAATATTTTATGTTAAATATTTTATATTTTAAAAATATCGAAATATTGAAATACGACAAAATGAAAAAATATAAATAAAAATCAGAAATCAATGGTAAAAAATCAAATCAAATAGATATCATACTTTGTAGAGATATTGAAAAATAAAAGAGATATCAATCAAAAAAACATAAATGCAAAATTATTATAAAATATTAGAAAATTTATGAATAATGACATTAATATGATAATAATTAATTATAAATTCATAAGTAAAAATAACAAATCATTTAAATATATTTTATTTATAGTATAATTATTTTT